TAAAGAAAAACTTTCCTGTGTTTTAAAAAGAGCCAAAAATGGAATTAGACACAGTTTTGTTATTCTATCCTCCTGCTGAACAGCTTTGGGAGAAGCAGAGCAGACAGCAACGCATGATCAGAAAAGCTTGTGTGGACTGTACCAATTGGAGGATTAGGAGAGCGGGATCATGATCTTTGAATGATTAAAAACACGTTTAGCGGTTTAGTATTTGATCGTTTGTATTCTGGGGGACAACTTTATGCTGTCCCCTTGGGATTTCTGCCTATGATCGAGGGTCTCTGAAATAAATTGCAACTTTTGAGCCTCGGACAGAGCCACCACCCAAATAGATATGAAAATAAGTCGTCATCAAATTTGCGTCAATCCCAGGGGTTCCTCCATAGACGTATGTAATGTAATACGTAGACGCCCCATTGGGCTCTGGACAGCGTAACAGCACCGCTACCATATTAAACGGGTCTCTTCAGTCTACAAAGTCAATGTAGAGTGAGCAACTATGTCAGTTTCTGTACAGCCTATGGTTAAAACAACTGCTGTTGTAACATCCGGCGCCTCATGAGAGGAAGGCAGCAACTTGCTCACACTGTTTACAGTAGGGATGGGGAGCTGCTGACGTCAACAGGGGCTATAGTCGGACGGTGGAAGGAATACTTTGAGGAGCTCCTCAATCCCACCTATGCGCATTCCGAGGAGGAACCAGTGCCGGGAGACCTGGGGATGGACTGTCCAATCTCGGGGGCAAAAGTTGCTGAGGTAGTCAAACAACTACACAGCGGCGGAGCCCCGAGAACGGATGAGGTTCGTCCTGGGTATCTCAAGGCTATGGATGTCGTAGGGCTGTCATGGTTGACACGTCTCTGCAACATTGCGTGGTCATCGGGGGCAGTTACTGTGGAGTGACAGACCGGGGTGGTGGTCCCCATCTTTAAGAAGGGTGACCTGTGGGTGTGTTCCAACTATAGGGGGATCACACTCCTCAGCCTCCCTGGAGAGGTCTACTCCAAGGTACTGGAGAGGAGGGTCCGATCAATAGTTGAATCGCAGATTGAGGAGGAGCAATGTGGTTTTCGTCCTGGCCGTGGAACTGTGGACCAGCTCTATACCCTTGCAAGGGTGATGGAGGGGGCATGGGAGTTTGCCCAACCAATCCACATGTGTTTTGTGGATTTGGAGAAGGCTTATGACCGTGTCCCCAGGGGCACCCTGTGGGGGATGCTCCAGGAGTATAGGGTGGGTGGCTTTCTGTTAAGGGCCTTTCAGTCCCTTTACCAGAGGAGCGTGAGTTTGGTCCGCATAGCCGGTAGTAAGTCGGACCTGTTCCCGGTGAGGGTTGGACTCCGCCAGGCTGCCCTTTGTCACCGGTTCTGTCCATTACCTTTGTGGACAGAATTTCTAGGTGCAGCCGTGGTGTGGCGTGTGTCGAGTTTGGTGGCAGGAGAATCTCGTCTCTGCTTTTTGCGGATGATGTGGTCCTCCTACCTTCATCCAGCTCAGAACCTTCAGCTCTTGCTGCGTAGGTTCGTGGCCGAGTGTGAAGCGGCTGGGATGAGGATCAGCACCTCCAAATCTGAGACCATGGTTCTCGACCGGAAAAGGGTGGCTTGCAAACTCCGGGTCGGGGGAGAGGTCCTACCTCAAGTGGAGGAGTTTAAGTATCTCGGGGTCTTGTTCACGAGTGAGGGTAGGAGGGATTTGGAGATCGACAGGCGGATTGGTTCAGCATCTGCAGTGATACGGACGCTGAGCCGATCTGTCGTGGTGAAGAGGGAGCTGAGCCAGAAAGCCAGGCTCTCGATTTACCGGTCGATCTACGTCCCAATCCTCACCTATGGTCATGAGCTTTGGGTAATGACCGAAAGAACGAGATCGCGGATACAAGCGGCCGAAATGAGTTTCCTCCATAGGGTGGCCGGGCTCAGCCTTAGAGATAGGGTGAGGAGCTCGAACATTCGTGAGGGACTCGGAGTAGGACCGCTGCTCCTCCGGATCGAAAGTAGTCAGTTGAGGTGGTTTGGGCATCTGGTCAGTATGCCTCCTGGACTCCTCCCTGGGGAGGTGTTTCGGGCATGTCCTGCCGGCAGGAGGCCCCCGGGTCGACCAAAACACGTTGGAGAGGTTACATCTCCAATCTGGTCCAGGAACGCCTTGGGGTCCTGCCGGAGGAGCTGGTGGAGAAGGCCGGGGAGAGGACGGTCTGGAGCTCCTGGTTGAGATGCTGCCCCCGCGACCCGGACCCGGATAAGCGGAGAAAGATGACGACGACGGTGTTGTAACGTGATGAAGGAGCTATTCCTCAAAGCTTTTTTAACCTCTCTCCACAGACGCCTCTGACACAGTACCAGGGTGCATGAGACTGCCTCAAGATCATGCATTTGCTTCTAAAGCTGTTTTCTTTACAGCAAAAGAAGAATGAAGATAGACTCTTTTCTTTTAATAAATCAGAGAACTCTATTTTTAATAAAGCTAATCAAAACAAAGTGTTAGTCAATAATACAATGTTGACCGATCTGTGAAATAACAATGTTATGATTAATATGCTTTAATAAGTAAATTACTTTAATCTAGTTTACTAGACACACTGATACACATAATGTAAATGCAGGACACATTGCTGTTACTGATCCAATCAGAACCTTCCTTTCTGAAGCGTGGCATAGTCTCTGTGGTGTTTATAAATCTGCCAGCTTTGATTCGACCAGAATTCAAATTAATAATTAATTAATTAAACCAGTTCCAATGCCATCTTAGTTGAGTTCTCAAGCTCTCACTGGAGTTCACCGCGTGCTAAGCGAAGTAACGGACCGGCCATCTGGACTTCCCTTTTTAAGCTGAGAACCACCAAGCTGGATAAAATCCGTTGCATTTTACCAACCAAGCAATGGTTCCTTTCAGAATAAAAGCTGAACTCACTGACCCAAGGAGGGTCCCTTTTGATGCTGTGAACCACCTGTCACTTTTTACCTGGAGACGATCCAAAGACTAGTTTGCCGTACTGCTGACGCTGTTCCATCGGCTCCAGTACCAAAGGAGGGTCCAAGGACCTGGCAATCTGGATCTGTACGGAGGTCTCATCAAGGGTATGTGTGGAGCGACAAAAATGGCGTCTCATGTTTTTATGACACTCCGGTCAAACTCTGATCGTAGCTAGGAGCAAAACATCATTACATCATTCAGACTTGCTTCTCCGGATACGAGAGTTCTGATAATAACACCACTCACACACACCATCCATCTCACATCTCATTCACACCAGATCCATCCATCATTAGAGTTAGAGTCAGTCTTAGAAATAAATCATCTTAAACGTTTTAAAGGTCTGATTCTTCTCTTGTCTCTCAGTTAATACAAAGTGTTACAAAATCCCTGCAATAAAAAGTTCCAATCTTCTGGTTAAATAACTCAGCGGTTCGAAAGATTGATTTCATATCCACTATGGAATCTTAATCTCTCACGGGTCATTAATTAGACAAAAATTAACTTCTTTTACATAATGGTGAGCCATTGCCCAGTATTTGCACATTCTTGACACTTTGTGCTACGTCTGAGACATATTAAACATTTAAAAACACTCTGAAATTAAAAATTTGATGCTTCTGGTTGAAAACGAGACTATCTCGTAATCCACCACTAGAGAGCAGCATCTCCATTTAGATAAAAGGGGTTTGACACCAGTCATCCTCCACAGGAGGCACTGTTTCATCTCAAATCATCTTAAGGCTGACGTGTCACGGTGCCCTTTTTGAGTTTCATAGCACACTCATATCTGGAAGGATATTTCCTGCTTCTTTAAAGAGCAAGTAACATCTAAATTAACTTTTTTTTGCTGATGAACTGTATAAATGAGTGTCTAATAGTGTTTTAAATGTGTGTATTCATTATTTTAGCATTTTGGTGCATTTTCTTTAAAAATTAAAAATTCTGCCTAAATGCCACAGTATAGCTCCACCTTCAGCTTAAAACATAGAATTTGACTTATTTTGAATAAATTTTAGCCAATGGCTAAAGACTAAGATACTACGTAAACCAGTAGAGTACTACGTAGCAGCTCTGTGTCAAAGTTATAAAAGCAACGAGCGTCTCGGCCACGCCTTGTGGCGAGTTGGGAGTTGGATTTGCAAGTGAGCTGTAACGTGAGGAAATATGGGTTTTCTGGCACAATGGTGGTCCTGGACTCAGCTGGGTCAAAGCTGGGTCATTGAGAACTTTCACCCACAGATTAAGACCTGAACGCCAGCGAGTCTGGGAGGAAACCATAACATCAGCCACCTGCAGTCTACCAGAAGATGTGTTTACTTGAGTTGTACCCAGACCAAGTCAAAACATAAAGGGTACCACTTTACAATAAGGCTCCCTTATAAATGGCTAATAAATGGTTTATAAATGTATTATTAATCCATCTATAATGCCTTATATATGACTAATTAATGTTTATTATGCATTAATTAAGGGTGAGAAAGAGACTAAACCTACTAGTTTTTTGCCAAATAGTGAACCAAATCTGTTGACTTATGTACTTTATCTAGACTTCATATATTAAACATTTCAAACTAAGAACCTATCTTTTAAGCACTATTAGCATTTGTAAACACAGTTTTGGGCAAATAATTAATGTACCTTATAACTGCATTATAAATACTTACAATGATTAAAGGGAGCGCTATTGTAAAGTGTAAAACATGTCTTTATTTATTAATGATTAATTAACATTTATAAATACAAACTGGAGCCTTCTTATAAAGTGTAAAACATGTCTTTATTTATTAATGATTATTAATGATTAATAAACATTTATAAATACAAACTGGAGCCTTATTGTAAAGTGTAAAACATTTCTTTATTTATTAATGATTAATAAACATTTATAAATACAAAAGGGAGCCTTATTATAAAGTGCAAAGCATGTTTTTATTTATTAATGATTAATAAACATTTGTAAATACAAACTGGAGCCTTATTGTAAAGTATAAAACATATCTTTATTTATTAATGACTAACAAACATTTATAAATACCAAAAATTAGTCTTAAATGTTTAAATTTGTTAAACTTCAGAGTTACACTAAATGCTTAAAATATTTGTACAAACTATGTTAACTACTGTCAAAAATGGTCATGTATTGTAAGTGTAGCACATTTAACATCCAAACTCATCAAACACACCAAATACCCCCTCCCTAAAAAAAACTGTTGTAGAAGAGATTCAGGTTAAACTGGGAATGATTTCCATATGTCCTTGAATAAGCGTCCCAGTGGTCCATCAGGATGTTTTGAACCAAGCCAAGATGACCATTCGAGAACTTTAAGATGTTCCTCCAACAACATCTCAGTACGATTTCCTCTTAGTCTGCGAATATGTCCTTTAATTGTCATCCAAGCTCTTTCAATATGTTGTGTATGACTGCCCGAGTGAGGATCAACAAACCACCTGCTGTGATTTACTGTGTAATGTTTGTACCCCATGTTTGTCAAGACATTCTTGTAGGCTCTCCACTCATCACTGATAATGGCACTACCCGACTTAACATGCTGTCTGATCAGAGGAACAAGGTGACGCCTTGTTCGTTTCTCTACAAGTTTTAACACGAGCCTTCGCCTTTTGTCTTTCACACCCATCAGTCCAAAGACCCATTTCTTTCTTTTCCAAGCATTTCCGAAGCGTCCACGTGCATACTGAAAATAAAAAAAGATTAAGGTTAAACAGAATATTTACAAAGTATATTCTTAAATGCAGTTTGCATCTTAACATTTTAATTGTATTGCTGTTATTAAAGTAAATTGTATTTTAACTTTATTAACAGCATGACAAAGATGTTGAATAAAAAAGCTGTTTTCTGTCATTCATTTCCTTTATGGATTAATTGACTACTTTTACAAACTTTAATTTTGTTAAATTCTGACTCAAGTGATTCAAATCATCATAGTAATTGATATAATAATATGTTTATTAACAGATTGTTTTTGTTTGGTTGTAACAGTTTTACTATATTGATTCTTAAATGTAATGGTAAAAACTTAAAACTTATATGTTTAGGGGACATGTTCAGATCTGGACTGATAATAACAAAGGGGTCTGAGAGTTTACAACCTTTCGCTGATGACGGAGACAGCTTTCATCCATAACCACAAATTCTTTGTGACCACCAAGACAGTGCCCTTTATTTACTCCGTGTCTTTCCATTGCACTGATGCAGACTTGTCGAATACGCTTTGCCATGGCACTTAATGTTTTGGAGCTGCCAGCCACATCATCATCAATCATATCTATCTGCCTGAGCCTGAGCCCTTGTGAAAATCTGCGACAGAAATGAAAACCAATCAAAACTCACTGAGGCCCTATTATTAACTGCTATTCCTGTTGACATTCATACACACAGGCTACCTGTAGATGAACTTCATCCAACTGAAAAGAGAAGATTTTGATTTCTCAAAGAGGGAGCCAGTTCTAATTGTTCTGGAGACTTTTCTATGACTTGCTCTTTTGCAGCACCTGAGAACAAACCAAAAAGTGAGGTAAATAAATGAACCTATAAACATTATCACAAAATTATATTAAAAAATAAATAAATATTGAGATAAAGTTAGCACTGTGTCTTGCTTTTAAAATTTGAAGGGCTGTTGCTCTATCCCCGACCTTCCTGAATGAGCCGAAAGCCACGCCTCCTAACGTGCACACGCAGGGAAAGCCGAGTCAAGTGAGAGAACATCTGAAATGCAGTGCTATTAGCCAGTGTGGTAGGCTTGCAGAAATTATTAGTTTAGCTGTAAAGCCAGGGGAGGGACTTAGGAGAAAAATAAAATATGAAAGATCACACTTTTTCTCATAGAACAAGGTCAGATGGTCAAAATTATTTTAACAATTCCAACTTACGTACCCTGCCTTTAATATCAGAATGTGATGTTAAATGTTCTACATTATCATGCATTCATACCACATAAATTGGTCTTTCTTCACCACAGATATCATTTTCATCTTATGGTGGCAAACAGGGCATCTCAGCTTCTTCTTTAGAAGGTGTTTCTTTTGCAGCCATTTAATCAGCCTCAGAGTCTTCTTTTTAGTTTGTTTTCCCTCTGTATGAGTGCACAACTTCATCCCAAGAGGCATTCTAGTAGGAAAAATTATAGATGTATTTAATTATATTATTACATTGAAATACTGGTATCTTCAGAATGTCATAGGTAAAAAAAGGTCACTGATATAGCAACAGATCAAGTCTTTGTATAATTCTTGAAGCATTCTTTGAAAAGTCAAGGAAAAATGTAAAACCATTAATTTGACCAAAAAATTCAACACACAAAAAAAAATCAAGATATAAACATTTCTAGTTCCAGTTTATTTTACTTACTTAAAAAACACAGCACATACAGTTACAAACTGTATTGCCTCTGCAATCTATTTGTGTTGTTTTTTTTTCTTTTTACAATACACAGCTCAACAGGAAGTAACACTTGCTAAATAAAAACCTGAATTTATAATTATGTTGACTTACTAAGAATGACCAAAAAAAGAAAGATAAATGGGTTTTTAATAAATATGTTAATTATCATTATTTATGACTACTCTTCCCTTCAAGCGAACTTGTAAATGCTGATAATTTTCAAAGAAAAATGTAAAAATGGCTAACACAACAGGAACAAGAATATTTAGTTAAGTTAATACAAAACATGCTACATTTACACAAAACATTTTCATTCTTAAAAATGATTTTTCTTCATCAGCTAAAGTAATATTTAAAAGTGAATTATAATTAAAAGAACAACCCTGCATACAAAAAATAAAACAATTTGCTCACCTCTTATAGTGCATTGGACTCAGTTATGAAGCGTTTCCCGCTGGATTTTTAGGTTGCATATGAAAACTAGCCATCGTCGCGCCAAAGGGAATAAAACGAAAATTAGCCATACAGAGATGAGCTTAGTGCAAACATCCAATCACAGTGAATCTTAATACGGAAGTCCCTCCCATCGGTGTGCGTCGGAGCTGAGGTGAATCCACCAGTCAAACCGACACGGACTGACGCTAGCTAGCTACGGCAGCGCCATGGATGGACCTGAAGAGAAAGATTCCTGTTCCACTGCGACACCTGCGGTCAGCACGCGTTCAAAGAAAAACAAAAAGCAGCGAGTGGATAACGTTAACACTAAACCAACGCTGTCAACAGAGAAACGTGATGGTGAGGAATGTTTTAATGCTAACAATGAACCATTTGGCTGCTACAGTGCCTAGCTATCTCTGGTACTATTAATTATTACGAAAGTGAAACCTCACAAAGTTTTATATTTTTTAATAGTTTATGTATATACATTTATATCATTATGAATAACCCCAGTGTGGTAACATGGAGGAATAATTTATTTTGTTCTGGAAGTGTCTGCTCTACAACAGGTGTTTGTCTCAGAACTTTTTTTACATTTGTATTGTTACCATTTAAAGTAGATATTTTTGTTTCTGCTGTCATTTAGTTTGCCTAGTTTAGATTAGAGATTCTGCTACTGTTGTTAATGTGTGTCTAAATTTTGTTTTTTTTAGATACTTCTTCTGGCCTTGCCCCTACTGCAACTGTGCTTCTTAATAAGGAGAGACAGGAAGTTGCTTTTCTTAAGGAGAAGCTGGAGTGGCAAAAGATGAGACTTGAAGAACTGGAAGGAGAGAGGGATTTCCTCCGAAGTCAGCTATCATCTCTGTCAAGTATGACATTAAACTAGTTTCATAAACATTGTTTAATTTTAGATTATTGTGATAAAAATCAGATAATTTATAAATATACATGAAGATCCCTTATTGTCACTGTGTTGATAAAAAAATAGTTACTCTTTGGTGTTATGCCAGTTAACTCTTAAAAATAACTTGTTCTAATTGGGTTTAAACCTATTGATTAATTAATTGGCATGTATTATGCCATTACCTATTATCTGTTTATTATCTGTTTTCTTACAGTTGTCTGTGCTCTCACGAATAAATACATTTTCATTTACATACTTTAATAATTAATTTAAAATACACATTTCGACATCAAAGTGTTCATTTAGATGGTTTGTAGTTGTGCCACTTTATCTCTTAGTACCAGCAACTTAGTTTTCCCCTTTTTCTCCTTTAAACACCACGGTAATAGGTAATTACTGCCAATTATTGACATTTAATGTTGTATTGGACAACAACACTCAGTCATTATACTGTTTTATTATTCTATAGTCTACAAAAATTAGATTTGCCCAGCCACATGTATATTATTTCACTCAGAAGGGTGCATCATTCTCATTCTGTCAAAGCACATAAGCTGACAAAATCATCCATTGTGTAATGAAATGAAATTGGCAGCTACTTTGCATGTTTGTTTCACTCTGTGTTACCTGATATGTGTTAAAAAAAATTCTAAATTCATCCATTTTTTTCTGCAGCGCAACCTAAAGACGAACCATTAAATGATACGTTTATCAACAATCCTTCTGAAAACTTGGATTCATCTTCCACATCTTCATCTGCATCATCTGAGTGGTCATCCTCATCCTCATCTTCACCCCCAAAGAAGCAAAAGCGCAAATTCAAAAACAAGCATTCAAAAGCCAAGAAATACAAGAAGGAGGAAAAGAAGTTCCGGCAGCGTGGTGAGCAAAATACTTATATTCAGAAGATATGTAGCCTGGCCTGCCAGACTCCTCCTCTGTTGAATTCTGCACAGAGAAAGAGTCTGGTAACTCTCCTATGTAAATAACCCCACCCAAATGAAAATGCTAACCAAACCAATCATCACTGAGCAGCGTATGTCACACACACAGTGAAGCTCAAATTCTCATAAACAATTATGTCTGAAGCGGAGTTCACCGCGGCTCTTTCCTCTGTTGTAAATGACTTGGACATGTCTTTGAAACCACAACAAGAACCGCTAAAAATCTTTCTTCTAAAGAAAGATGTTTGCGCCATTACCAGGCTCCATTTTTTACTACAGCTAAAAAAACTACTGCGTCACATGGTACAGTTGGCATTTCCACTTTTTTTTTTTTTTGATTGGTCATTTTTGAGCTGGCTAATCCCGCCCCTCATGTGCCTCTCTGCCTGTGAGTTACCAGACTCTCTGTGCAGAAGTCTAGTCTGGCAGGCCAGGCTAGAAGATATGTTCTTTGGAGATAAAATTACCATTTAAACATTTTCTTCAAACTACATTGTATTTGACACCAAACTTGAATATAAGGTTTGGACTGATGCGCATTTTTAGAAATGCATACACACACACGTATATGCATGTGTGTGTGTAAATTATAGTAACAGATTGTATTGTGTGCCATGAGCATTTGTTTCTAACAGTTTTCTTAGTTTTAATTTGATTCTCAGTCCGAACACCAAGTGAGATTGTGCAGAGATACAAGTCCCTCCTCAAGACATTTCCAAAGATGAAGACCTTGTCCAAAGCTTTTCAGAAGCATGGGATTGACAGAAACACAGTTGTGTCCACGGCATCAGTTGCTGAGCTCGCTATCGCAGCTCCTCTTGTTTACCAGGAGCTGATCTCCAACAAGCCCAGTGGAGAGACGGTACTCCATTTTGCTAAGCGATGTGAGGAAGAGATTCAAAGCAATGATGAAGTGAAAAACAAAATAGAAAGCATGAAGGCTGATGGATCTTTGCTTCCAATTCGAAGAGGCAAGTCTGTCTGAAAGCCTACTCAGTTATCTGACTTGTTCTGTTTCAGCATATTTAGCTATAGAACAAATGTGTGTGAAACTGGTAATTTTTTAACGATCTGTTCAGTTATGTGTTCAGTTTCCACACAACAAAGATTTTTCTTGTCATTTTTGTTTAGAAGGTTTTGTGTGTCCTAAGTGTAACCAAAACAACTGCACATGTTAAGATAGAGTATTGTCTAATGTTATAAGGCAGCTTGTTATACTTTTCATAGTAAGGCCCCTAGTCTTCAAAAAGTTTACTGGTTATAAATAAATGTTAACTAGTTTCATACTAAAAAAGTTTCATTTTACATTTAAAAATGTTTAAGAGTCATTAATAAACACTGATATGTTTTATACTTTACAATAAGGCTCCCTTTTGTAATTATAAATGTTTATTAACTATTAATAAATAAAGACATATTTTACACTTTACAATAAGGCTCCAGTTTGTATTTATAAATGTTTATTAATCATTAATAAATAAAGACATGTTTTATACTTTACAATAAGGCTCCCTTTTGTAATTATAAATGTTTATTAACTATTAATAAATAAAGACATATTTTACACTTTACAATAAGGCTCCAGTTTGTATTTATAAATGTTTATTAATCATTAATAAATAAAGACATGTTTTACACTTTACAATAAGGCTCCAGTTTGTATTTATAAATGTTTATTAATCATTAATAAATAAAGACATGTTTTACACTTTACAATAAGGCTCCAGTTTGTATTTATAAATGTTTATTAACTATTAATGAATAAAGACATATTTTACACTTTACAATAAGCCTCCCTTTAATCATTGTATTTATAATGCAGTTATAAGGTACATTATTAGTTGCCCAAAACCTTGTTTACAAATGCTAATAGTGCTTAAAAGGTAGTTTCTTAGTTTGAAATGTTTAATATATGAAGTCTTGATAAAGTACATAAGTCAACAGATTTGGTTCACTATTTGGCAAGAAACTAGTAAGTTTAGTGTCTTTTTCACCCTTAATTAATGCATAATAAATGTTTATTAGTCATATATATAAGGCATTATAGATTGATTAATAAGACATTTACAAACCATTTATTAGCCATTTATAAGGGAGCCTTATTGTAAAGTGGTACCACATAAAGTTTAAACTTCTTTTTCTTGATTTTAATGTTAAAGTAACCATTATCATTTTGCTCATTATAAATGTGTTTTAATCAAATGAATGACTATTATGCTTTGGGGTAATTATAATGGATTAATGAATCCATTCTTAAATAATGTTGAGAATGTGTGGTACTGACCTTCACACTCAAGCACACAAACATTCACACACACCCACACACATCTTCCCACAGTAAACTCCAGACACATTTGATGACGCACATGTTTGCTTTGAGAAGAGAAAGGTTTTTGGTAAGTTTTCAGTTTTTGATTCAGTTCGTGTTGGACTACGGAAGAGAGTGGACCTGAAAACCAAAGGGGGGGCAGAGCCGGCTGGCTCGTTCTCCCCCCCTTTCACGCTGTTTCTGTCAGCCAGACAGAATAGCTGAATCGCAACTTCTAACGCAGACTCATTACCGAGTCTTTTGATTTCTGAGTGAATTAACTTAAGAAAGCGCGTCGACAAAACGCTTTACCATCAACGTGTACCGAGGGCAACTCTGGACCGGTTCCGTTCGACACCTACGTCTCCTGTCAGCCGCCGGTGTCATCTGGATGAATCACAACATCCTCCACGGCCCGGATCCGAAAGAGGGTCCACAAGAATTCGGTGAGACAGAACACGGTGTCTAGCGTTTGGATGCATCTTTTCCAACTAACCTAAGTTTATTCAAACCATCACTTTTCACTCAGACACCTGTTTCTTCCTGAAGCAAAATCAGATGCACACACGCATCCATCTCACCTCATATCATTCTCACAACTCACAACATTCTCAATCTTCATAAATTCACCAGAAGGTCTATTTGAGCAAGAACAGCATATAAACTGTTAAAAGATTGTCCCACAAAGTTGCCAATGTGATTGTTATTTCCTGTTTGTCAATTTTCAAAATCATTAGTTTAATTTGAAGAAATAAAACTTTTAATCCTTCAAACTGGTTTCCTCATTGAACTGAAACACAGACACTCAGATATTATCGGCAGTTTATCGATGAAAACAACCTTTGAGTCTTCTGAACAATATGAAATTTGGTTATTGATTTATTAAAAATTAATATTCCGAATTAATACGTAGCATGGTTCCTCTTTCACAAAAGAGCATAAAACCACTACGCTACATTAATGGCGAGCATATCCAGACTTCTATATCTGCGATTTATCTGATTTCTAACATCTAAAAGCTACGAACAGCGCTTTTCTCTGTGTTTCACTTTGATGTCTTATTTTGAAAAACACCGGAAATTATTCCGCTGAAGTCACTCTTCCGGGAGACGTACTGGTGGAAACTTGACGGGGAAGATCTCCGATCTCAAATTGACCGCAAATTACAGACCTAACTTTGATTTATCCCATCTTCGCCTTCGGAGCGAACGTGTGAGTTGTGCTTTTGACTAAATTCTGTCCATTTTGACGCGCGCCGCGTCTCTAACCTCTTCAGGTCGGAAAGCGACATTTCCGCTCTGAACTTGCTGGGTGAGCTACCGTGAGCAGCTTATCCTCAGTCCTAACATTAAAACTAAATTCTCCGAACCGAAACTAAATTCTCAGACACCTTTCGTCTCAGTGTGTTGACACTGTGGGCGAGCTATTGTGGAAAGTATTTCCATTGCATGGGCGACTGATCACAGCCGAATCTAAACGGAATGCTCGGTGACACCTACCGTAGCTTGGATCGCTCGGTAAACTTCGTAAGGCGAAGCATGGCCGTCACGCGTTACTGCATTCAGATTGCGTACGCTTTAAAAGTCCGTTTTTACAAGCGGAGCGAGATGCCTGCTTGTTAATCGGGAAAATTTAAGTCTGGTCGCTACAGACAAAGGACGCTAGACCTAGCCGGAGAGCTAAGCTAGCAGGCCACAGTTGGACAAAAAAGGGAACGCGTCCCGTTAAATTGTCAAACCATTTCTGACACAGTTAGTCTGTGTCCTCACAAAACCCGCATTGGCGGTGATTCTTGTAATTCACTACGGTGTGTAGAATCTACAGTTTGCTACGTTTGTCCGTCTGATAACATCTCGGCAGCGTAGGGTTTATTATTATTATTTTTTTTTATTTTGGACCGGTGAGCGGGTCGGCTTTCGCAGCCCGTTGCTCGGATCCATGCCTTTTTCTTCCATCTTGTGAAGTTGTGTGTATTCATTTCTCTATCAACAATTCCTTGTTTTACCCTGTGTCATAAAGTTAAGTAAGCTACGGACAGTCCTTGTTTGTGAGACAAATTAAGGAATCTGCCCGGAGTTTTACGTCGGCTCAGAAGGTGAAAACGCGAGTTGCTCTGAACTTAATGAGAGATGGACGAGACACGACAAAATCTTTCTTGCACTGTTACACCTGATGTAAGGTTCTCTGACGTTCTGCTTCCAGAACATGCCAAGACGCAGGAGACTGCTTACCGGCCGAGCCTCGATGGTCCCTCCACCCGCCCGAACGGGCCCGCATTACGCTGGTGCCGCCGGTCGGGGACGGTGGGGACTAGTGGCAGCGGTTCGGTGCCAGCTGCACTGGGTCGGAGGTGGTTCTGGTCTGCAATTCATGACGTGAATTCAAGCAACATGCTGTTTACAGTCATAACGCTTTTTCTTTACATTTATTTCTTCCAGGGGGTCAAAAACCCACCATCAATATCAAGGTTTGAAATAAACAACACTTTCTCTGCTGCTTTTAAGCTGAATAAATCTCTTGAGCCTATGGTTAACCTCTCTGACAAACAGGTTGTGCTTAACCCTTTGGTTCCTGATGCTTCTTCTCTGTCATCCATGTTAGAGGCTGAACATCTCTCCAGCATGGGTGTGAAATCTTCAGGCTGTGATCCACCGCTTCAGTCAGGGGTCTGCTTTACTCGTCAGTCCGCCTCATGCACAAACCAGCTTCTTTATCGGGGCGTGATGGAAACGTCAGCCGCCGTGAAACACTTGTGGTCTCCGGACGGAGCTACCATGCCATTTAAGGGGTTTGTGCCCGGACATCTTGACCTTTATGTGAATGACCTTGTCACTTTTCAGTTTGTGACCTCTGCTAATACGGTGGCCAATTCCTTTCTCCTTTCACAGGGGTGTGACTTAGTCTCTGGCCTCTGTGTTCTCTTTCCTGTGATTTCTCTTACAGGTGACCACGACGATGCAGAAAACCCTGCGGGTTCCAGTAGTCAAGTGGTCAGTGGCGATATTGAAGGTGGCTCGGTGGTTGCTGCGCACACCTCTCTCACGGGCTCGGGAAGGCCACCCGGCCCGCGAGCAGTAGGTGCGTGCAGTGATGCTCTGCTCGGGGCCCCTCCTGACAAAAGGGGGGTGCCGAGTGGCACTGAGTTTTCCATTGCGGACTTCAACCAGTTCGGGGGAACGCCTCCTCCGAGCGGGCGGGTCATTGCAGAAATCGACACTGACCTTCCACCAATTCAGCTGACAACATTGACCTCCGACCCGGAGATAGGTGTGGCACCTTCTACGGGGCGGCGGTCTAGTCAGTCTGTGACTTCTCTGGTTAAACCGGGTTTTTCTGATTCTGTGTGGGCACCTCCATCATTCTTGGGAATAAAGTATTCTTGGCTTCAGTTTTCAGGACAGACCATGTTCCTAAAGCTAGTGTCATGTCTGTATCTGATTCTAAACATGGCTAGGTTTGCTTTGACACCCGTGACACAACCATCCTTGGATCACTCCTTTTCAGAACCTCCAAGTCCAACACCTCCAGGTCTTTGGACATCTGAACACCTACTCTTTCAGCACGATTCAGGTGACAATGTGCATCTTCTTGGTAATAGGGCTTTTAAAAGCTTAAGAACTGTTCTTTGTTATGCTTCTCCTGTCTCACAGACACGGCTTAAGTTTGAGCAACAAAAGGGGGGTGGGGAGCCTCCTCCTGCTTTGCGAGCATCATTTTCACATTTCCAGTTCACTACTATTTCTGATCACAACAAAGTCGCCTCTGTAAAGCTGCCACCCAACTTTGAGCAGGTAAAATCAGGTTCTGATCTAACAGCTAAACCATCAGCTTCGCTCCAGTTCCAAACGGAACCCTCAGGTAAATTCAAACAAGTTTCCCTGTGGGTTCGTAACACAAGATACAAACAGTTTGATAACCAAATCGCTTATGAGCCTGCTCCCAAAGATACGTCCAAACTCGTGTCTCTGTGGGTCCGCAATACCAGATTCAAAACGCTTACTGAACAACTCTATTCTGACCAACTCTATTCTGACCGGATTCTTTTCCGCTATCTGGTGGACCGTTACAAATTCTCTCATTTGTGGGATGAATTTTTAACAAATGTGATATCCTTTGAATTTTTTTTTCAGGTTACCTGCCTCCAGCCAGGGTCCTGTTACTAACTCACATCTTTAGGGATTACTAACCTACTGATTTACATTTTTAGAACTGATTTACATCTCTATTTTTTTTATTAGTGCTTTGTGTAGCATGATTATATTTGATTACAAAGTTAATTTTATTTTGTTACTATTTCCCTTAAAGGGCCACAAGCCAATTTGCCCTTCATTTTCATGATTATTTCTTTTATATATATGCCTTTAATTAGTGCAGCCTGCTGAGTTTCACATATCAGTTAGGATTTACTTTCTTTTATTTGTGTTTTCACTGCATCACGTTTTTACATGACATGTAGAGCAGGGTGCAGAACATTTCTTCTT